ATTGTTTCTTCTTATCCTAGTTATTTATTTGGAAAAAAATTATGGTTCTGAAAAGAACCGATTTGTGTTTGATTAAGTATGTTCCTACTTAATACTGTTTTGGTTTTTTTTCGTTGAGCCTGGTTTATTTGATTTCTTGGGTTGTTCTGTGATTACAATCATCGACAAGAGACCATTTTGTCTGCTGTTTTAGATTTTTCCACTCGATTGAATTTTTCCAGAGATATTTTCCCGAGTGGAGAGTCTTACCACTGAAATTGTGGATTGGGGGCATAAAAACATCTGGATAAAACTGGTATTTGAGAGCACGTGGAAACGTGGAAAAGGTTGTAATGCACTCTGTGGCAGAACATGGGGTAACATGTTTCGGATAGAGTTTATATGAACTTTTCTTTTTAAATGCGTCAACGTTATAATTTTATTGGGCAATGTTAATAAAATTTCTATATTACTGAAATAAATTTATCCGGAGCTTACAGTTCCCACCCTATGAAATTCAAACAATTAAAATGCATATTACAAATTCAAATTACCCGTTTAGTGTGTACACGGATTACGTCCGGCTATAACGTGACATTCGAGAGTGACAATGACAATGAGCGGACCAATGAGAATCATCTTTCACGCAGTGCTGCTTGGCGGTAACGCCAAAGCTCTCAGAAATTCTGAAAAGCTGCAATGCTTATAATTTATTGGTTGTTGGCATAAACAAATTATTATGTGCTATTACAGAAATCTTGATTTTTTAAATTATCTATATGATTGTAGATTTATTAGTTACTAGAACACTGTCTTTCTAAGCAAGACAAAATTTATATTTTGTCAATATCGGTTTATCAGTGATGTGATATCCGGGGTGTGACAATTCAGCACTTTTCCATGATTGAGATTGGAGACAGAAGACAACTGCTGCTTGTCTGTATCTATGTTTATCTCTGGTTACGTGCATCATATGTTTTTCGAAAACTTGAAAATATTAAAAATCCATATTAATCGATGCGATAAAATAAATGTGAGTCAAAATATAAAAACCGTGCTTGTGCCTCAGTGTTATGATGTGCCTTCAAGACGGTAATTACCGTATAATTATGGCTTAAAACCCCGCAAACATGTAAAGGTATGTTGGTGTTTAAACTAAATACATTTGATTATTTTATTATTTCTTGTTCTAAACATACAGGTGATACCGTTGTTCTGGACTTGAAGCATTGAAGACGCTAGGGATCACGTGAGAAAACCACACACGAAAAATGTTCGCATAAGATACGGCAAAAATGTAAAGGTATGTTGGTGTTTAAATTAAATACATTTGATTATTTCATTATTTCGTGTTCTATACTACAGGTAATGTCGCTGTTGTCGACTTGAAGCATTGCAGATGCTAGGGATCACCAGATCTCCAGATCCAGTGAGAAAACCACACACGAAAAATTTTCGCATAAGAGACAAGTAAGGTTGTCTGAACCTAATTATTCTTCTATTAATGTAAAATTATTATCTGTATTTTTTTATTTTTACCAGTTTGATTTTGGTTGATTTCTATTTTGCGATAAGCATGTTTTCTTGGATCGAAGGAAAGTAAAATGAAAGTAATGTATCAATGCAAATTGCTATACCTAACTGTATTTCTACACAATAGAATAATCTGTGGATGAACGAAAATACTCTTC